GCGTATGTGAGACAAGTATGTAAGTTGGGCTTACGTGTGTGTGAAATGTATATGTGTTCTATGAATGAGGTGTGTATGTGTGAGGTGTGCATATGTGTGTGTGCGGAGTGTATGTGAAGTGTGTGAGGTGTGTGTGCGATGAACATATATGCGTATGTTAGGTATGTATGTGAAGTGTGTGTGTGAGGTGCGAGGTGTATGAGTGTGAGGTGTATATGTAAAGTGTGTTTGTGAGCCGTGCATGTATGTGTGAGGTGTGTGTGGCGTGTATGTGTGTTTCGAGACAGCTGTTGCCTCAGGGCTTTCTCAAATTGAGAAACTATTCTTAAATAATGATTCTCTAAAATACTTTGTAAATATTACCAATCAACTTTTTGTATTTATTGAAATAATTTTGACTTTCTATTAATTGTTCCTGTGATGTTTTATATTAATTAATGGTTTTCCTTGTACCATTTTGTATGCTGGGATAAACGCAACTTGGGTATGTGTGTATATGTGTGTGTGTGTGTTTAATAATAACAACAATAATAAACTTAAACAAGTACAAACAATAGTGTACCCATTACACCAAGCTGACAGCTTAGCATTTTGCTGTAGTCACTTCAAACCTTTTTTAAAGTCAAGAAATAAAATATTGCAGATAAATTTGTACTTCTCTTTGCCTCCCATCTCCAACTCCATTTTTTTTCTCCTTTTCTCAGAGGCAACCAATATCCTGAATTTAGTATATATCTTTACAATTTTTTTAAACACACACAATTTTTATGTACACATATCCAGAAATAATACATAGCATTGTTGTGTGTGCATGTTTCATTTATATAAGTGGTATAATTCTAAATGTACATGTCTGCACTTCTTTTTTTTACTGTACATTTTGTTTCTGATCACTATGCCCATAAGTGTGTGTGTGCGTTTATTCTTTTAGAGTGATTCATAGTATTCTTTTTTATAAATACCACTTCATTTTATTACTCCATTCCGTTATTGATGGACAATTAGGCCATCCCAAAATTTACTGCTACAGTGCTAAAATGACCATTTTTATACTTGTTCCCTGCTGTACATTTGACATGGTTTTTTTCCTAAAGTATAAGCCAAAATGTGGAATTGCTGGGCCAAAGGTTATGTATGTGTTCAGTTTTCATAGAAACCACCGAATTTTTCTCCATAATGTTGCATCATTTTATATTGCCGCCAGTAGTGTAAAAGAGTCACAATTTTACTGTATGTTGGTCAACACTTTATATTGTAAAGGTTACAAATTTTGCCAGTCTGGAAGGAATAAAATGGTATTTTGTTATTGTCTTCCTTTATGTTTCTCCAATTACTGTGAGGCTAAGCATCTTCTCATATGTTTACTGACCATTTGTATTTCCTCTTCTGTGAATACCTGTCCAGATTGAGCTGTTCATTTTCATCTGATTGATTTTTAGGAGTTATTTTTATATTTTGATAGTAATCTTTTCATTGATATATTGAAAATATATTCTTTCAGCCTATGCTTGTCTCTTTAAAAACTTATTTTGAAATAATTATAGATTCACAAGAAGTTTCAAAGATAGTACTGAGAGATCTCAGGTACCTTCCACTTAGTTTTCCCCAGTGGTTACATCTTACGTAATTATAGTACAATACCAAAACCAGGAAATTGACATTGGTACAATGTGTGTGTATAGTGTTGCTATTTTATCACCTGCAGATTTGTGAACCCGTCACCACATTTAAGATATAAAACTATTCCATCACCAAAAAGACCTCCCTCATGCTACCCTTTTGTAGTCCAACCCACCCACCTTTCCCTCCCGCACAATCCCGAGCCCCTGGCAACCACTAAACTGTATTCCATCTCTATAATTTTGTCATTTCAAGAGTCTTATATAAATGGAATCATACATATAAATATGTGACCTTTAGAGATTGGTTCTTTTCACTCAGCACAATGCTCTGGAAATCCATCCAGTTGTTGCAGGTGTACTTTGTTCCTTTGTATTTCTGAGTGGGATTCCATGTCATGGATGTACCACAGATTATTTAACTATTCATCTATTGAGGGACATTTTGATTGTTTCCGGTTTGGAGCTATTACAAACAAAGCTGTTATGAACAATCTTGTGCAGGTTTTTTTATGTGGGTATAGATTTTCATTTCTCTGGGATACATGCCTAGGAGTGCAATTGCTGGATCATATGGTGTGATGGTTAAGATTGTGTGTCAGCTTGGCTGGGCCATGATTCTCTGTGGTTTGGCAATTATGATGTAGTTTGGCAGTTGTATAATGATATGATCACCTCCATGATGAGATTTGATATAACGTGATCACCTCCATAATGGGATCAGATGTGAGTAGCCAGTCAGTTGAAAGGAAGTTTCCTTGGGAGTGTGACCTGCATCCAATATAGGTAAACTTTCTGGCAAGGCTCATGGGCTTTTGCTTGCACTAGATCCTCCAGCTGGCTCCTGTTCATCTGACCTCTGGTTCTTGGGCCTTGAACTAGCAGCTTACCTGCTGTCTTACCTGCTGGTCTTGAGAGTCATCAGTCTTCAAAGCCTGTGAGCCAGAGCCCTACTGTCTGACTTGCTGATCTTGGGTTTGCTAGCCCCTGCGGCTGTGTGAATTAGGAGAAGCCTCCAGCCTGACCCATGGATTTGGGACCTCCCAGCCTCTACAACTGTGTGAGCCATTTCCTTAATACATACATCTTTCTCTATATATATATATAGATATACGATTTACTGGTTTTGCTTCTCCAGAGAACCTAGCCTAAGACACAGGGTAAGTGTATATTTAGTTTTTTAAGAAACCACTATTTTCCAGAGTGGCTGTACCATTTTACATTTCCATGCACAATGTATGAAAGATCTAGTTGCTCTGCATCCTCGCCAGCATTTGATGGTGTCACATTTTTTATTTTAGCCATTCTGATAGGTAAGTAGTGATAGCTCACCATAGTATTAATTTTCATGTCCCTAATGGCTAGTGATGTTGAACATGTTTTTTGTGTTTATTTGCCGTCTGTACATTTCTCTTTGATTCTTTGGTAAAATGACTTTTCAGGTTTCTTGCTTATTTTCTGATTGCATTGTTTATTGACTTTTGCGAGTTCTTTATAAATTTTATATATGAGTTACTTGTCAGATATTTTGCAGATATTTTCTCTTGGTCTGTAGCTTGTCTTTTCATCTTCTTAACAGGGTCTTTTACAGAACAAAAAGTTTTAATTTTTGATAAAGTCCGATTTATCAATTTTTATATTTTGCCAATGTTTTCTCTCAGTCTGTAGCTTGTCTTTTCATTTTCTTAACAGGGTCTTTTGCAGAACAATAAGTTTTAATTTTTGATGAAGTCCAATTTATCAATTTTTTTTTTTCTTTTGTGGGTCATGCTTTTGGTGTCATGTCTAACAACTCTTCACCAAGTCCTAGGTCCTAAAGATTCTCTCCTGTGTTATCTAAAAATTTTATAATTTTATATTTAAGTCTATGAGACATTTTAAATGAATTTTGTATGAAGTGTGAGGTGTAGGTCTAGATTCCTTTTCTTCCCCCCTGTGGATATCCAATTGCTCCAGCACTATTTATTGAAAAGACTATCCATACTCTATGGAATTGCTTTGACATCTTTGTCAAAAATCAGTTGGTCGTACTTGTGTAGGGCTATTTCTGGGTTCTCTATTTTGTTCCATTAATCTGTGTGTCCATTCCTCTGCCAGTGCCACACTATTACTATAGCTATATAGTAAGTCATAATCTCAGGTAGAGTGATTCCTTCTACTTTATTCTTTTTTGAAATTGTGTTAGCTATTTTAGTTCCTGTGCTTTTCCATATAAAATTTAGCATTATCTTGTCTATATATACAGATAGTCTTGCTGATATTTTGATAGAAATTGTATTGAGCCTGTATATCAATTTGAGGAAAATTGACAGCTTTACTATGTTGAGTGTTCTAATCCATAAATATGGTATGTCTCTCCATTTATTTAGATCTTCTTTGATTTCTTTCATCAGCGTTAGTTTTCAGCATAGGAGTCCTGTACATGTGTTACTAGATTTACACCTGTGGTTTTTTGTTTGTTTGTTTGTTTTTTTGAGTGACTGTAAATGGTATTATAATTTTAATTTTGTTTTCCACATTTTCATTGCTAGTATATAGAGACAATTAATTGTTGTATGTTGATCTTGTATCATGAGACCTTGGTAAACTCACTTATTAGTTCCAGGAGTCTTTAAAATAGATTCACTGGGATTTTCTATGCTTACCATCATGTCACCTATGTTATGTATTGAATTGTGTCCCTACAAAATATATATTGAAGTCCTGGCCCTTGTACCTGTAGATGTGATCTTGTTTGGAAATTGGGTTTTTCTTTTGTTATGTTAACAAAGTCATACCAGTGTAAGGTGGGTCCTAAACCTAATCACTTCTGAGTTATCAAAAATACCAGAAAAGACACAGCAAGACGCATGGGGAGAAGACAGACACCATGTGAGGATCGCCTACAATCAAAGGAATGCTGGCAGTCACCAGAAACTAGGAAAAAGACCCATAGAAGGAATCGACACGGGCAAGACCCTGATTTGGAATTTTAGCCCTCAGAACCGTGAGAAAATAAAATTTCTGTTCTTTAAAGCCACTCACTTGTGGTATTTCTGTTTTGGCAGCACTAGGTAACTAAGACAACTTATAAAACAGTTTTATTTCTTCCTTCATACTTGTCTTTTAATATTTTATGGTTATCCTTTGTCAGAAGTTTTAAAATTTTGATGTAGACAACCTCTGTTTCCTTCATGGCTTGTAATTTTTCTGTCTTTAAGAGCACCTTCTCTTTCCTGGATCTAAAAATGCTGTTAATGTGTTGAGGTATTCTGTCTGGCAACATTTTACATATGTCTTTTGCCGGTAGGTTCTTAACAGAAATTGACCCATATTTTTCTTGGATTTTATTGTCAAATGTGCTTTATAAAATGAATGCTATTGCCAACACCAGGGAGATTGTGCCAAAATGGTTATATTTAACCTGCGGTGCGATGGATCGCTTTTGTGTGGTCTTTTTTTCCATGATCTTGTGATTCCCACCCAAGTGGTTGGGTGGGACCGTATAAGTAAGGTAATTGTGGCCCACCAAGTGGATTGGATAGCTTGCTAATAATGTAAGTTCATGGCACCTATGTGGGAGTGGGACCACACAAATAAGATCGGTGGAACCCTAATGAAGGGATTGTAAGCCAACCTAAGGAGGGAGGAGAGGATCTCACCACCAACAAGGAAGAAGAGCCGGGAGCAGAAAGCATGCTTTGGACCTGGAATCCCTGCGCTGAGAAGCCCCTGGAACCAGGAGACCAAGAGAGAGAGCTGTAACACTCAAGGTGAGAAGAAGCAGCAACAGAGGCGGCAGAATCAGGAGACTGGCAGGAGACCAGCAGGAGGCCACGTGGTGGGCTTCCCTGACCTCGGGGCGAGAAAGCTGAGTGCCTTCAGACAGGAGACTTACTGGTGGAGTAGGGTGCCTCTGGACACTTGGTGGAGCTAGCTTTGCCAACCCAAGGAGCTAGAGCTGAGTGCCTTTGGTTCGAGGCTTACTGGTGCCATGGGTTGCTTCTAGGTACTTATCAGCGGAGCTAAAACAGCTTTGTAACACTTGCCCAAGCAGGGTAGAGGCCCAGGCACCAGAGAGAGGTGTGCTTGTGGCACGGCTAGGGGGAACCTACCCTGATGGAAGAACTGTATCCTGAGTGTTCCTGAACCCGAACTGTAATTTGTTACTTCCCTAATAAGCCCCATAACTGTGAGTATGGTCTGTGAGTTCTGTGTGGCTATTGCAACAAATTATTGTTATTATTTTTTGGGGGGGGTGGGGAATGCTGTATATTTTTTTCAATATTTTCAATATCCATTTTCAAACATACAGAAAAGTTGAAAGACTTTTACAGTAAATGCTCATATACCTACCATCTAGATTCTGCAGTGAACATTTTCCTTTTGTTGTACATCTATCTATCCATTTATTATTTTATATTACTGTTATATATAATACTGGCCAAGAAAAGAAAGCATAATGGTAATGAACTATAGCATTACAGATGTTATCATTACTTATGAAGAGTTTAGATTTCTAAGATCTGAACCCTTGGAGTCATCTTTTAACATTCTTGTTTTGTTGTTGTTCTTTTTTAATTGTACTTTAGATGAAGGTTTACAGAACAAACTAGTTTCTCATCAAACAGCTAGTAACACATATTGTTTTATGACATTGGTTAACAACCCCACAACATGTCAACATTCTCCCTTCTCGACCTTGGGTTCCCTATTACCAGCTTTCCTGTCCCCTCCTGCCTTCTAATCCTTGCCCCTGATCTGCGGTGCCCCTTTAGTCTCATTTTGTCTTATGGGCCTGTCTAATCTTTGGCTAAAGGGTGAACCTCAGGAGTGACTTCATTACTGAGCTAAAATGGTGTCCAGGGACCATACTCTTGGGGTTGCTCCAGTCTCTGTCAGGCCAGTAAGTCTGGTCTTTTTTTGTGAGTTAGAATTTTGTTCTACATTTTTCTCCAGCTCTGTCCAGGACCTTCTATGGTGATCCCTGTCAGAGCAGTCAGTGGTGGTAGCCAGGTACCATCTAGTTGTACTGGACTCAGTCTGGTGGAGGCTGTGGTAGTTGTGGTCCATTAGTCCTTTGGACTAATCTTTCTCTTGTGTCTTTAGTTTTCTTCATTCTCCCTTGGTCCCGAAGGGGTGAGACCAGTAGACTATCTTAGATGGCCGCTCACAGGCTTTTGAGACCCGAGACGCTCCTCACCAAAGTAGAATGTAGAACATTTTCCTTATAAACTATGTTATGCCAGTTGAGCTAGATGTTCCCTGAGACGATGGTCCCCACAGCCCTCAGCCCAGTAGTTAGGTCCCTCAGGGAGTTTGGATTTATCCATGGAGCTTCCATGACCTTGCCCTGAAAAAGTTGTGCTGGTTTACCCACTATTGTGTACTGTCTTAACCCTTCATCAAAGTTACCACTTATCTATTGTCTGTTGAGTGTTTTTCTATCCTCACCCCTCCCCTCCCTTGTTACCATCAAAGATTGTTTCTTTTTGTACGGAAACCTTTCCATGAGTTTTTATAGTAGTAGTCTCATACAATACTTGTCCTTTTGTGATTGACTTATTTCACTCAGCATAATGCCCTCCAGATTCATCCATGTGCAATGAATTGAACTCAGCAGAGAAGTAGAGAGTGTCATGGGAAGGATGGTTTGTGTCAGAATTGGTAAAGATGATGGAGAGAGGAGGCGTGTCTGACCTCCACCTCATAGGAATCAGCCTTGGGCTGTTGGTCTTGATTCTTATTCCCTCTTGTGAAGTTAGAGGATGTCAGATGCCCCTGCCCCCACACCATTTTTACATTATCAGAGTAATGAAATTTTTTTCTGCCCTCTCACCGTCCCCCCACTCCTGGGAACTTGGCCTAATAATTCAGGAGACCAGTTTGCACGATGATTAAAGGTCTAGGTTTTAATTAGGAGCACTAGACTTTAAAGTCAGATACCCTTGTTTTGAGCATCATCCATATGAATCTGGGCATGTCCCTAAACCTCAGTTTCCTCATTGGTAAAATGAACATAGTATTTGTTGTGAGGGATCAGTGAAATAATATAAATAATATAAAGTTTATAAATAATATACAGTTTTTGGTTAGCTATTTCAGCCCAAAACAAAAGGCAGAAACAATCCTTCCTGCTCTTCTTCCAGTTTTTATGTGGACTTGATTGACCTGGTCTTCGTATATCAAAACTCTTGATCCCAGACCTTGATAGGGATTTTTGCCTCTGCCACTCAACCTTTGACATATATCCTGTTTCTCTCCCCACATTTGGATCTTATTTCTCTCTTTGACTTACCTATTTGCTTTTAATCCAGGGTGAGAAGTCGTCTCTCACAAACAAATCCCACCAGAGACTAGATGAGTTCTTTACAATTGGGTAGGAGAGGAAGAGGAACAATTCAAACAATAGTAAGTTCCTATAAATCAACAGGTCTTTCAAATTACTTCTAAATATCTCTTAATTCTCTCTACTTCTCTTCATCTTCAGTGTTACCACCTTAGATCACATCCCCATCTTTTCTCATTTGAATTACTGAAATAGCACCCAGAAAGGTCTTTCCACAACTGCTCTAGCCCCCTCCAATCCATTCTTCACATTGCAGACAAAGGCAGCTTTGAAATAATGTGTATCTGATGTTGTGTCTTCCTGCTTAAAGTCCTTCAATGGCTTTCTCTTAGGATAAAGTCCCAGATCCTTGAAGTGGTCCACCAGGCACTGTACAGTCTGACACCTGACCACTTTTCCTGGTTCATCTCCTGCTTCTCTGTCCCTTCATCTCTGTGCTTCAGACAGTCAGTCCTTTGAACTTGACATACTGCTTCCTACTTCTCTCTGAAAAGTTCTTTCCACCCTTCTTTACCTCATTTATATTCTTCATATCTCAACTCAAAATGTTACTTTTTCTGGAAAGTCTTCCCTGAGCCCATCCCCTACTCCAATTGCCAAGTAAGGGCAATGCCTCCTTTCTATGTATTCTGAGTTTTTGTCTGTAGTAGACATTTGTTTAATATTTGTCCCTCTTTAACAGTGAGCTCCTTGTGAGGAGAGACCATGTTTGTTTTGTTCATCATTTTATTTTCTGGATTTAACACAGTGCTTGTCAAATGATAGATGTCCAATAAATATTTGTTGAGTAATACAGTGTTATTTATGATCATGAAGAACTGAGAATAATCTAAATAGTTAACAGCTGAGAAATGCCTAATTCATTAATATACATCTGCTTATTAAATGTAATGTAGCTTTTGAAACATATAAACATAACAATCTCAAAGGTCTGTAAAAGTGTTCAGTGAAAAAAGCAGAATACAAAATTGTTTTCATTTGTTACTTATAATTTGTTAAAAGTGTACTGTGTAATATTATTAAGACCATAAGAGATAAGGGGAAAATAGGTGGAAGGATTATTGATTGTTATCATATTGTAAAATATAGAAAACAAGGATAAGATTGAATTTTTTAGCATGCCATATTCTTCCATGTGTCAAACAATGTATATTTAACACTGTAACTATATGATTTTGAAGTTTTTTTTAAAGTTCTCTAATAAACCGAGTGGGGCCAGGTGCTATATAATATTTTCTTTGATAACTTTCCTGATGATTTACTGTTATTGATTTATTTGAGTTCTCAATTTATTAAACTAGTTTTCTTTTTCTACCTATTTTGAAAAACTGTTCATTTATGTTTTCAAATTTCTTAATATATATTTTGATGGAACAGAATCTCTCTTACTCATTATTTTAACAGAAGAAATCTACCAGAGTTTCTAATATATTGATTTTCCTTTAGATCTTAAAGGGAAAAGAAAAGATTAGGAGCTCTTGAGGCTTCTTTGCTAAACGTAAGAACCAAGACTTTTTACATATAGAAGGGAGTTGCCAATATGTAAATATTTACTCAAGAAAACTCATTAGCGTGCAATACTTGAGAGTAAATGTCCATAGGAATAAACATTAGACTTTGACATTCAGATGGTGTAAATAATCTGACAAGGACACTTTAATGGTCATAAAATATGAAAAAGATAGTTAAAATTATCTCAAAATGAACGTATCAGACAAATGGATAAGATTGTGAATGTTTTGGCTTTCTAAATGTTTTTACTGCATCAGTTCTGTTTCCTTTTCACACGTGCATCAGCAACCCTTTTATTTGTCCCAAGCTTTTTTTTAATAATAAAAAGGCTAGTGGCTTGTCTAAACAACAACAAAGACCAGACAAACGAAAACAAAACCCCTAGTCTTGTTAATTGATCAAATAATTGCTTTGTCATGATTCCAATGGAATGATGATTTAGTTTTTTTTTTTTTAAATCACTCTTTTTATTTTTTCTTTATTACCAATAAAGGCATTTAGAGCTATGGATTTTTCTCCGCATACTGTTTAAGCCATGTTATGGTAATGTGATGCAACCTAAACCATAAATACCCAGAAGGCAGATTCTATGCACTTCTTTGTGTCTTTCACAGCACTTAATGTACCCACAATGAATTCTCATTGAATGTTTCCGGTACTAATGAATCAAAGAACGAAATACTTTGATGGCATGCTTGAGGCAAAACGAAAGAGAAAAATGGCTGTGCAGACTGCAGCACAATTCTGAGAGTCTTAAGAGTCTCCTCCCCACCATAGTACTGTTGGGTTTTATTAATTTGCTCAACCACTCCCAAATACAAGTTCTTTAACCTCATAAAGACTTAGGATGTATTAAGCCTTTTCCCCACTTATCACAGCCACTCCCTTCCCTGGCCATCTTCATTTCCCACCCTATCCATGGTCCAAAAGTTCAACCACTTTCTTACTAATGTTCTAAATTCCCTACTCTCCTTTTAAATCTTTTAGAGATGAAGGTTTCCTTTTTTATGTTATGAATTATTTCAAACTTATAGAAAACACTATAATGAACACAGTGTACCCACTATCCAAATTTAGTAGTTGCTGTCGAATGGACTTGACTTATGGGGACCTTAAGTACAATAGAACAAAACATTGCCCTGCCTGCATCATCCTCACAATCATCAGCATGTTCAAATTCATCATTGTGGCTACTGTGCCAATCCCTCTCACGAGAGTCTCCGTCGCCCTAGTTAGCCTCTACCTCACCAAACATGTTCTTCTCCGGTGACTGATCCATCCTGATGATGTATTCAAATCATGCAAATTGGGCGTTGTTCTGTTGTGAGGTTTCCATTGGCTAATTTTTGGAAGTAGATTTCCAGGCTTGAATTTAATAGATGAGGTCAATTAAAAAATTCCTTATTGTGGAAACTTTTCAAAAATGCACAAAGGTGGAGCAAGTGAGGTAGTGAATTCCCATTTATCATTACCCATCTTCAATCATTATTGCTATTTTGCCAGTAAGTAGTACCACTAACCATGAAATTGCCCAAGCCAAAAACCCAGTCACTAAACTAAATCCTCTGCATTTCTATTCAGTCAATCACAGAGTCTTGTTGGTTTTATTTCCTAAGTGTCTCTCAGATCTACTCAATTCAGTCATCCTCACTGTTACTACTGTGGCCCAGGACACCATTGTATCTCAGCTGGATTACTGAAGAACCCTCCATACAGATTTGATCCTCTCTAATTTGTTCTCCACCCTGAATTAATAATATGCCTCCTTTTAAAAAAATTATATAATAGTATTAACTTTTTTGGTGCACAGTCTATGAGTTTTAATACATTAAAAGATTTGTATAATTACTACCACACTGTGGATGCAGAACAGTTCCATCACCCCAAAAAACTTCTTTGTGCTACCCGTTTGTAATCATATCCTCCCCATAGCCCCTGGCAACCAAGAGTCTGTTCTTCATCAGTAATGTGGCCTTTTAAAATGTCTATCTGTTCATGTCACTCCCTTAAAACCCTTCTTTGGCTTTCCACTGTTATAAGAATAAAGTTCAAGACGTGGCCCTTGTCTAATTCTCTAATCTCCTTTTTCACCACTTCTTACCCCATCTCCTGTCACTCTTAAGGTCTGGCCAGACTGAACATCTCTCCACTACTCCAATACACTGTTTCCTTTGCTGATTTCTGGCCTCATCTACTATTCCTTCTGACTGTAATGCTTTACCTCCTCCTAACCTCAGGTTCCTTTACTTGGCTAATTCAGATCTTGGCTTAAATGTCCTTTCTTCCAGGAAGGCTTCTCTACTCATATTAAGTTGATTGTTGCTGTTAGGTGCTTCCCCTTTCAGAGTATTTATCACATATTACTGAATTACTTTATTCAACCATGTTTCTTTCCAGTCCATAAGCTCTGAGAGGCAGGAGCTGTGCCCATCCTTGGTTACCACTGAATCTACAGGTCCCACCACCTAGTAGGAACTCAAAAAATATTTTGAATAAATTAATGAGCATGTAATTTGTGTGTACTATGTAATCTACTCATCAACATGAGATACATGTTTTAATGGTTTCATTGCAGAATGAACATGGAGAAACATAATTCATCTTTGGTGGTAGAGTTGTCTCACCCAGACTTGGTCATCAATGTAGGAAAAGTGACTTTGGGCGAAAAAAACAGAAATAAGCTACAGAAAGCTCAGAGAGAGCAAGAGAAGATGAGAGTTATGCAGGCTGTATGTGCTTTATTGAACTCAGGAGGAGGAGTGATTCGGATGGAAATGGCAAACGAGGCTGAGCATCCCGTGGAGATGGGACTGGATTTGGAACAGTCTTTGAGAAAGCTCATTCAGTCTTCAGATTTGCAGGCCTTCTTTGAGACCAAGCAACAAGGGAGATATTTTTCCATTTTTGTTAAATCTTGGAGCAGTGACCTTTTCCCCGAAGAGAGTTCCATCAAGTTCCGCATTTGCAGCCTGTTTTCTTCACTGTACTCTAGATCTGGCACCTCGGTTTTTCTAATGGATTCAAGAGAAGCATTCGATTTCCTGAAAATCAAGAAAAGGAATGCAGAAAGCAGCTCGGGGAAAGAACCTTCTAGTAAAAATACCAGGGTTATACCTCAAGGCCTGCATAAGTCGGATCCTGTTTTCCTAGTGTTCCAAAGAGACAGGTTTGAATATGGTGAAATCCTGGGTTTTCCCGAGTCCCAATACACAGAGTTTAAACAGTTCTCTACCAAACACATCCATACATATGTAGAAAACATAATTCCAGTCTACATCCCTGCATTTGCAAACACTGGAGGAGGCTATCTTTTTATTGGAGTGGATGATAAGAGTAAGAGAGTCCTGGGATGTGCTAAAGAAAATATAGACCCTGACTATTTGAGAAAGAGAATAGAGAAAGCAATATACAAATTTCGTTATTTCCATTTTTGCCAATCCTCATGCGGGATAAATTTCACACTCAAAATCTTTGATGTATTTGCCAAGGGAGAGTTGTATGGCTATGCTTGTGTCATCAGAGTGGAGCCATTCTGTTGTGCAGTGTTCTCAGAAGTTCCCAGGTCATGGATGGTGAAGGGTAAGCACATCTGCAACCTGACAACTGAGGAATGGGTAAGCAGGATGATGGGCGCAGAGCCAGGTAAGAGGGAGAAAGCCCTTCCCTCTCTGTCCTTTCTGTTTCTTTGGCATCTCCCTACTAGATATGTCTTTCTTTGTCCCGTGACTTTGAACTTCTCACACCCACTAAACTGGGTTTTTTGAATCTCTAGATATCCTACTTTTCATGCAAGAGAAAATTTTGTTGGGTGATTAAAAGCCCAAATCAGGTGTTTTGTAAGTGGCAATTTTCTACATTAGAAACTGAAAGAAAATTATTTGGGAATGGTTTCCTTACAGTGGTGTGCTGGAGTCAGCTTTTACTGGCTCCAGAGCCAATTATTAAATTTTCAGGAATTTTGTGAGCCAGATGTTACACACAGAAATTGTTAAAAAATTAAGCCATATAAACTTACAATTAAATAATTGTGTTGAAAGCAAAGGTGATAAATACAAGCTCACCACTTTTTAATTATTTACTACATTTTACTATTATCTATGCTTATGAGGTTGTTTACATCTATCATATCTGTGTAGTGGAAATACTATAAAATGGTGTGCTACTACACATCTCTTCCCAGCTCTGTATTTAGTGACATCACAGTGACAGCTTGAAACTGTCCACAGAGGGAATACTTACACCACAGAAATTGGCAAATGATACAAATGAGGGATATCCCCACAATTAGACCCGGTTGGGAAACATTTACCAGAATGGTACTGCTTCTTTGAGTTGGTTCTTTGCATTCCTTAAAGTCCTTTGGATTGAATCATAATAGCACCTCTGGTTAAATTAAGCTGTCTCCTGACTCTTGATCTTTGGAGACTTTTCAACTCAATGTAACTTGAAAGCAGCTCAGCGTGAAAGAGGACTATACATACATACATACATATATACATATATATATATGTCCCTGGTTAGCACAAACAGTTAAGTGCTCGACTAGTAGCAGAAAGGTTGACAGTTTGAACCCATCCAGAGGTGTCTTGGAAGACAAGCCTAGTAATCTGCTTCTGAAAGGTCACAGCCTTGAAATCCCTATGGAGCAGTTCTACTCTGTACACATGGGGTTGCCATGAGTCAGAATTGACTCCATGACACCTAACAACAAATACACACACACACACACACACACACACGTTTGTCCTTAGCACTCTTTAACATTTTTCCTGGGCCTCTGAGTCTTTCTCTGTGCTCTTGATCTTTTGCCTTTACATCCACTCATCACCATGCACTCATTAAGCTCTAAGCTAAAACCCATAATCTGATCTACTCCTCAGTTTCTAACAATTTAAAATATTTCTTACCTTGCATTACTACTGCTCCCCAAGCAGGCTTCTACGTTTACCACATTGTGGTGTTAATTTGGTGGACTCATGGGCTGTCTCAGTCTCTCTAATATGACTGAGAATACCCTAAGTCTACAGAGACACAGACAGAAGCAAGCACAAAATTTGGGCAATAGTCTTCTAAGTGTAATGGATGAGTAGGTGAAAAGGGAATGTATATAAAGCCAACTCCAATCTTCAATCTATGTGGGAAAGTTTTACAGTGCAATCTCTAATGCTCTTTGGTTTATGCAGTACGTCATTACAACTATGGGAATAAGCATATCCGTAAAAAAAAAAAAAAAAAAAAAAACTTGCTGTCGAGTGGATTCAGACTCATAGCAACCCTATAGGACAGAGTAGAACTGCCCCATAGGGTTTCCAAGCAGCCGCTGGTAGATTCGAACTGCCAGCCTTTTGGTTAGCAGCCAAACGCTTAACCACAGTGTCTGTATGTCATTGAGATCCTTCAGTGATGAGCTGCTTCTTCCTGATATTTTAAAATAAAATTTTCTTGTCTCTCACAATGCGTAAACACTTTTGATAGGTACAAGGAGGGATTCATAAATACAGCTACCATAGTCTTGGGAAGCTTGTCTGCCTGAAAACAACTGAGCTCATTTTAACTATATAGAAACCCATTTAAAGAAATTATTTCTATTCATCCATCTTTTCAGTAAACTACAAAAATGATTTATAACATGGTACGACCTGGAAAATAGTCGGTATTTAACAAATGACAAGAGTAAATGGCTACTGAATTTCACCTAGGCATTTGCTATTCGGGGCTAGATTAATTCCTACCATGTGAATACCCCTGTGCTGTCTGTAACGACGAGATAGGGTAAGGAAAAGATTATGCTCCCAAGGGCTTTACAATTCATTTGCTCATTTGTCATTCATTAATTTGAGAAATATTTATGTGCCAGGTATATCTATGAAGATCTAAGGCAGACATGATTACCGACCTCATGGAGTTTACAGTCTACCAAAGGAGACAGACATTTAACAAATCCCTAAACTAATAATTACTTAGAGTCATTATAATGACTATTAAGAACACTTACATGGAATTATGAGAACGTTTAACAGAGTTGAGAGTTGGTGAAAGGGAAAATGGTGAAGTTCAGATTGTTGTTGTTAGGTGCCATTGAGCTGGTTCCAACTCTTAGCAATCCTGTGAACAACAAAATGAAACACTGCCCAGTCTTGCACCATCCTCACAATTGTTGCTAGGCTTGAGCCCATTGTTGCAGCCACTGTGTCAGTCCATCTCATTGAGGGTCTTCCTCTTTGTCACTGACCCTCTACTTTACCAAGCATGATGTCCTTCTCCAGGGACTGGTCCCTCCTGATAACATGTCCAAAGTACATGAGGAGAAGTCTCGCCATCCTCGTGTCTAAGGAGCATCCTGGCTGTACTTCTTCCAAGACAGATTTGTTCGTTCTTTTGGCAGTCCATGGTATATTCAATATTTTTCGCCAACACCATAATTCAAAGGCATCGATTCTTCTTCAGTCTTCCTTATTCATTGTCCAGCTTTCATATGTATATGAAGCGATGAAAATACTATGACTTGGGTCAGGGGCACCTTAGTCCTCAAAGTGTCATCTTTGCTTTTTAACACTTTAAAGAGGTCTTTTGCAGCAGATTTGCCCGATGCAATGCGTCGTTCAATTTCTTGACTGCTGCTTCCATGGGCATTGATTGTGGATCCAAGTAAAACAAAATCCTTGACAACTTCAGTATTTTCTCCATTTATCATGATGTTGTTTATTGGTCCAGTTAGGGGATGGGAAATAACACACAAGCACAGGCATGTATACTGAAAGAAAGAATGTACTAAATACCATAAGAGAACTACAAACTAAGTGCTATCCAGACTTAAAGAGTGAAGAATGATATTGAGTGAGGAAATACATTCAAGATTCCAAATAATGAATACTCAGTGGTGGATTTGGGGGAACCCTGATATAAAAAGACTAGGCTAAATAAAGGCATAAGGAGCCCTGATGGCACAGTGGTTAAGCGCCAGGCTGCTAACCGAAAGGTCAGCAGTTGGAACCCACCAGCTGATCCATAGGAGAAAGATGTGGCAGTCTGCTTATGTAATGATTACAGCTTTGGAAACCCTTTGTGGCAGTTCTGCTCCATTCTATAGGGTCAGTATGAGTTGGAATTGACTTGATGGCAATGATTGTTTTTTTAAATAAAGGCATTAGTCTAGAAGGGATGAATGAGAGCATTATCTCACCATTTCCTCTCGAACGAACGACCACAAAGAAGGTCATATACCCCACCCAATGGTAGGGCCTTTTTCAGTGGTGAAGAGATAAACTACTGTGTCTAATTAACATGAGTTTGCTTTCTTTGTTAAGAACTTACATTGTTGTGCGATGACTTTGAATCTCAGCTGAGTCTAGCTGGTGGGCCTCCTCTTAGCAAACCAGTGTACTCCAAGAAAGGCCTGGAACATAAGAAGGATCTCCAGCAACTCTTATTTTCAGGTAGTAACTATGACTTTCCTACTTGACACCAAATAGTTTCTACATTAGGATAAACGGAGATAAACTGGTATGTTTTTTAAATTTCTTGAAAGTATGCTCTGCAAATATCTGTGTATAAAACTAATAATGTTGTAAGCCTATTGGTGATAAGTAGTTTAAAAATAAGTCTTTGCTGACCCCACTGGCTAGCGCGGTGCCACCTATAAAATCCAAGAACATTATTGCCCTTAAAGACCATTTCTAGTTTCCGAATCTGACTGATTTTCATTATTCCTGGTTATATTTTAAAGTGGACATACCTGGGTCTCTGCCCCAGACTTAATAAATTAGAATATCTGGAGATAGTACCTAGTAATGTTCATTTTTATCAAGATCCTCACATGGTTCTGATGCTCATCCAGATTGGAAACCTTTGATCTAGTCAAACTAGAACCATACAGTGCACCAGGGAGCAAAAATCTACCCAACCCTGACATATTTTCCAGAGGAGAGGTGGTTATGAATATTAAAAAGAATAAAAAATTGCATCCAGATGTTTAAAAAAAAAGAGCAATTATGAGCATTTTTTCAGTGTTTCAGGTTTAGGAGAAACAATTGCATAGTAGCAGAAAATGATTCAGGACTAAGGACAGCGACTGTTCTCTACTATCATCCCTAGCCCCCAACATTTTAGGCTTTGCCTAGGCGTCCATTGCTGTCTTCTTTCTAGACTCCTAGAGAGAGAAGATCATTTGTTCAAGCCTATGCAGTAAGTCAATGGCTTATCTGGCACTAGAATTTGATATGGTGTAGATGTCTATAAAGGGCCATTAAGTTAATAGATAATGACCGCCCCATATAAGATTTCATTTTTCCTTACCTAATAAAAGTCTTTCTTTGTATTTATTTGCATATCAAGTTTTTATTTAAAAACTTCCAACAATAAAAAATGTAAGATGCAAGAGTAAACATAAGCACTATTTTCTTTATTTTCTAAACTCAGTAAGCTCCGTGTTAGCAGAATTTATTACCATGGAATAGATTATAATTAAAAAAATAAATGAACTGAGTTATATGCTTATAGAGCTACAATATATTATTCTTGAATAAAAAATCAGTTTTTCAGTAATTCTACCAAACATTTGAAGAATAGGTAATTCCACACTATCTAAATTGTTCTAGATCCATAGAAAAAGAAGGAAAATTCCCAAGTTAAGTAGGAGTAAACAGTAATTGCAAAACTTGACCAAAATAACACATTGATCTCTAAGTAATTGATGCAAGAGTTCTACTCAGGGCCTAACCCAAGGGTCTCCCAGTAGAGTGTTCTCTGCTAATTAAAGGCTTTACATGACTTGATCTTCTCCACAAATGTGGCATTAATGAGCACCTTCTTCCTGGGTGGGCTCCTCTTGTCTGCATCAGTGGAGACTGCTCAGGGACATTTCAAGATTCAGATACTTTGAGAGTAAGAAGGGGAACAGAACTAACATTTCTCAAGCGGCAACTGCAATGAGTTAGGCACTTTATGTCATTTCTTTAACTCTTCACCATAGGAAATGTGCTATTGTTAATTTTGTTTCACATGTGAAGGAACAGAGTCTTAAGGAGCTTAAGGAATTTCTCAAAGTCATAAACATAATAAGCACATGGAGTTAGATTATTAAGTGTCTTTTTCTTTATAATTGTAATAAGATTTACAAAAGAATATCTACAAAGTATCTGTAAGTTATTATAATAATAAATATGATTTTTTCCAAAATTCATAATTCTTTCCGTGTCTAGTGCCATCGAAACATTTGCGATATACTCCAGAACACCTCTGGAAGGAGCTGTCCTCACAGCATGAAGGACTGGAGGAGTTAATAAAGAAGGAAATGCGTCCTTTCTCCCGGGGCATTTTCATCCTTTCTAGAAGCTGGGCTGTAGACCTGAACTTGAAAGAGAAGCAGGGAGTCATCTGTGATGCTCTGCTGATAGCACAAGACAGCCCTCCTATTCTTTACACCATTCTCAGGGAGCAGGATGCAGAGGGGCATAACTATTCCACCCGCACCGCCTTTACTTTAAAGCAGAAGCTAGTGAATATGGGTGGCTATACTGGTAAAGTGTGTGTTATGACCAAGATCCTCTACCTGAATCCTGAGAGCGCTCAAGAGTCCTTGGAGGGTCCATGCTCTCCAATAGATTACCCTGAGTCCTACAGTCTTGCAGATACCCAGCAAATGGAAGCGTTGCTGCAGTCCCTCGTGATTGTCTTGCTTGGCTTCAGATCTTTTTTGAGTGACCAGCTCGGCTGTGAGGTTTTTAATCTGCTCACAGCCCAACAGTACGAGATACTTTCAAAAAACCTCCACAAGAGCAGAGAACTGTTTATCCATGGCTTACCTGGATCAGGGAAGACCATCATGGCCATGAAGATCATGGAGAAGATCAGTAATGTATTTTGCTGTTATGCAAATAACATTCTCTATATTAGTGAAAACCAACCTCTGAGGAATTTTTTGAGGTAAGCAGTTGGTTCTTATTGTCACCAAATGAGGTTTAGTTTGGATTCGTTCTACCACCACCCCAAATGGAGTAACTTTGTTGCTTGGTGGTTAGATGGTAAAATTAATTTGTGATAGTGTGTGCAGAGCAATATAATAGACTGATTTGCTTCCTTTGTTTTAATTGAAGAAAACCTGATTATGTTGTTTTCATTTTTACAGTAATAAAAATATCTGCCAGTCAGTGACCCGGAAAACCTTCATGAAAAATAAATTTGAAAACATTCAACACATCATCATTGACGAAGCTCAGAATTTTCGCATTGAAGATGGGGACTGGTATGAGAAGGCAAAAAAAATCACACAAAGAGAAAAGGATCGCCCAGGAATTCTCTGGATCTTCCTGGACTACTTCCAAACCAGTCACCTGGTTTGCAGTGGCCTCCCTCCTCTCTCAGCCCAGTATCCAAGAGAAGAGCTCACCAGAGGGATACGCAATGCAGATCCAATAGCCAACTACCTGCATGCTATAATGCAGCAGATCAAAAAGAATCCTCCACTTAACATTCCCCCTGAGTCGCTGGAGATGCTTTGTGGAGCTGAATGGGCTCAGGGTGTCCCGGGAACCCTAATAATTAAGGAAGACCTGAGTCTGAAGCAAATAGTGACCTTTGTGGCAGATACCTGCAAGTGTTTCTTTGAAAAGGGCTATTCTCCTAATGATGTTGCTGTGCTTGTCAACACCACGAGAGAAGTGGATCATTACAAGCATGAGCTCTTGAGAGCAATGAGGAAGAAAAGGGTAGTGCAGTTCAGCGATGCATGTGACATGTTGAGTGATCACATCGTATTGGACAGTATCCGGCGATTCTCAGGCCTGGAGAGGAACATCGTGTTTGGGATCCTTCCAAGAGCAGCTGAGTTAGCCATCTCAGACAATATTCTGGTCTGTTTGGCTTCCAGAGCAAAACAACGTCTATATATTCTGTGGCATGGTGACTACTAAGAAGAATCCCAAACCAAGACGAGATGAAGCAATCACTATATAAATATCTGTGGGTGAAAGTCTGGTATTGGCAGAAACTTTTCTTTGGGATTTGGAACTCCCCCTCTCTGGCCTTCTCCTTTCAGGGACTCTCCCCTACCTCTTTCCAAGGCTTTGCTTGCCCCAAATTGTCCCGATTGTTTTAGTCAGAAAGATGCTGGTTTTCTCCTACTTCAGTGAGTGGTGTCTGGGGTCTTAAAAGCTTGCAAGCGGCCATCTAAGATGCATAAGTTAATCCCAACCATCTGGAGTAAAGGAGAATGAAGAACACCAAAGACACAAGGAAAGTATTAGCCCAAGAGACAGAAAGGGCCACATAAACCAGAGACTTCATCAGCCTGAGACCAGAAGAACTAGATGGTGCCCGGCTACCACCAATGACCGCCCTGACAGGGAACACAGCAGAGAGTCCTGGATGGAGCAGGAGAAAGGTGGGGGGCAGAACTCAAATTCTAGTAAAAAGACCAGACTTAATGGTCTGATTGAGACTGGAGGAACCCTGGAAAGCATGGCCTCCAGATTCTCTATTAGCCCAGAACTGAAACAATTTCCGAGGCCAACTTTTCAGACAGGGATTGGTCTGGACTGTGGGACATAAAGGGATACTCATGAGGAGTGTGCCTCTTAGCTCAAGTAGATACAAGAGACTAAACAGGCAGCTTCTGTCCAGAGGTGAGATGGGAAGGCAGAGAGGGTTAGGAGCTGGTTGAATGGACATGGGGAATCAGGTGGAAAGGAGGAGTGTGCTGTCACAGTATGGGGAGAGCAATTGGGGTTACGTAACAATGTATGTATAAATTTTTGTATGGGAGACTAACTTGAAATGTGAACTTCATCTAAACTATAACAATAAAAATAAATAAATAAAAGAAAGATGCTGGTTTTCTACAGGAGCTTTAGCAGCCCTGCACAGCACAGACTGAGACCTACCCTAAAAACAAGAGGTTATCTTGTAGCCTTTCCTTTTCTCAAGTCTAGACTCTCCTCAATGACTTCGTGTAAAGTTTGGTTTTTCAATTTTATTTAAATCTTATAGTTTTTATGGGTAGAAGGGTGGTGTTATGGATTGAATTGTATTTCCCAAAAATATGTGCATAAATTCTAACCCCTATACCTGTGGTTGGAGCCCTAGTGGCACAGTGGTTAAGAGCTCGGCTGCTAACCAAAAGGTTGGCAATTTGAATCCACCAGCTGCTCCTTGGAAACCCTATGGGGCAGTTCTACTCTGTCCTATAGGGTTGTTATGAGTCAGAATTGACTCAATAGCAACGGGCATGGGCGTGGCATTCTTTGGAAGCAACTTACTAAGTGCAGTCCACATTTAAGAGATGAGAAGTAAAGCTCCACCTCCTTGATGGAGAAGAAGCTACATTACTTGAAATTCTTCTGTATCAGAGACTTACCTCTTTTTCCTCATTTATTTATTGATTCATTCATTTATATGTATGGATTAATAGATACCTATTTTATATTTTGTATTAAAATCCAAACTGTCCAGCTTTGGCCATTGGGAGCTCTTTCATGTTGGCTTCTGTGTTCTCTTGACATGCCCCCATTCTTTTATTTTATTTTTTAGCACTTCCTTACTTTCCTCGGAGCCCTGGTGGTACAGTGGTTAAGAGCTATGACTGCTAACCAAAAGGTCAGCAATTTGAATCCACCAGCTGCTCCTTGGAAGCCCTATGGGGCAGTTTTACTCTGTCCTGTAGGGTCGCTATGAGTTGGAATCGACTCAAGAGCAAAGGGTTAACTTTACTTATAAGGTGTTCCATGCTAATCTTGTATATTCCCTGTCCAAGCCCTAGAATCAGCCATTTCTCCAAGGAGCTCTGATTCCCTTTATTGGAGAATGGTATTAGAAACCAAGATCTAGGCACTGGATGTGCTCATTGGTTTTTTTTTTTTTTTTTTTTTGATGTTGACTGTTGTCTGGTGGCTTTTGCAAGAGGTGTATGGCTGCACTGTCCAATATGGTACCTATTAGCCACATGTGCCTAAAATGAGTATTTGCAAAGTGGCTAGTCTGAATTGACATGAGCTGTAGGTGTAACATACACACCAAATTTTAAAAATTAATATAAAAAAAGAAAACATCACATTAATACTTTTTATATTGATTACATGTGGAAATGATGTTTTGGATATATTGAGCTAAAGAAAATATATATATATAAATAAAATTTTTGTATTGTATTTTTGATGAAGGTTTACAGAACCAATAGTTTCTCATTAAACAGTCAGTACACATATTGTTTTATGACATTGGTTAATAACCCCACGACATGTCAACACTCTCCCTTCTCGACCTTGGAGGATTTTTTTTTTTTTTTGGTGAAAATATACATAGCCAAAGTTACACCATTTCAAAAATTTCTACATGTACAATTCAGTGACATCGATTATACTCTTCCAGTTGTGCTGCTATTCT